CTCAGAACCTCAGTGTGTCAAAAAAAAAAAAAAATCCCTTTGTGCCATGCTACTCGGCTGGGCTGGGCTGGGCTAAGCTTCACACTGTAGGGAAAAAAATGCAGCTGCAGAGCCATAACACTCTTTAAAGTTCCAAATACCAGCAAAGAGAGGATCTATGGCAGCCTCTGCCCTATGGAGCAATATTCCCCTTGAAGTTCATTAGGCCTTTAGCCTCCTAGCTTTCCATAAAGCACTGAAGACCTGGAATAAGACAAGATGATAGCATATTGGATGCTTAACTTGGAACAGTTTTTTGTTTTTAATGAGTTTGATTTTCATAGCTTTAATATAGTTTTTATGTTGTTTTAATTTTTGATTGGGAGCTGTCCAGAATTTGTTGTAAAATGGGCAATTATATAAATGTTTGGAATGAATGAGAAAGAGAAAAACAAAGGAAGGAACGAAGGAAGGAAGGAAGAGAGAGAGAGAAAGAAAAGAAAGAGAAAGAAAGAAAGAAAGAAAGAAAGAAAGAAAGAAAGAAAGAAAGAAAGAAAGAAAGAAAGAAAGAAAGTTCTTCTGCAGCTTCATCACTGCCATTGAGAAGCAGCACCTCTTTGCTTCTTGGTTCAAGCTCCTGAAAATGGGAAATCACTAACAATTTCTCCCTGTTTGATCTGATTAGTCAGACTAGTACTGTTTAGAATAGATTGTCCTGCAGATACTCAGGTTCCAAGTCATAAAGATGTATATTGGTTTAAACCAGCACCTTAAATTCTACCCAGAAACAAATCTACAACCAAGGTTGGCATGAAATCCATGTTACATACTCCCATAGGATCCATAAATTGTGCGCACCACCACATTTTGGATGAGCTGTGGTTTCCTAGTTGTTTTTAAGGAGCACCCAAATATTGTAGTATGGTAGTCCAGCCAGATAATGAAGGCATATCTTATTGTAGCTAAGTCCTCCTGCCCAAGTAGGGTTACAACTCCTGCACCAGCTTCATTATGTCTTCTGTCTGCTGATCCAGCAGGAAATGACCCCCCCCCAGTCATAAATCACTCTATGATGGATAGGACTACCAACTCTGGTAGCAAAAGAGAATCCTGATGTATCATTGTCTAAGACCCCATTGGTTTATGGAATGTTTACTTTGTTCTTTAGAATTTGATTTTTAATAATAGCTATGGCATTCACAGTAAACTTGAATAAAAAACCCAATAGCTATCTTACTACATCTAATTTCATTGTCACATTAATGAATATGTAAATATATCATGTAGCCTTTCAGTTTTTCACTTTAAAGCTATTCAAAGGATTGTTGATGATGCTTAAAATCTAGTTGTAAAGATCAGGAAGAAACTACAGGCATTCCGTAGCGGCTGAATTAAAGGACTGTTGAAAAATTCAGAAATCTAGATCTTGATGAAACATCTGGCAATGCTATTTTATCTAGAGATTTTATTGAAAGGAAAACAACTCTCATTTTACACAGAATTTGCATTATGATTTTTGTTGAAATTGGTTCTTCAGGTTTTTATAACAATCTAAACAACAGATTTTCACATCTTTTTAAGTATAACAATTATCACTGGTTTGCTGGCAGTAATAGCTATTTATTTAAAAAATATTTAAAGAAAGAGAATGCAATCTATATACTATTAGGTAAACATTCCCCTCACACATATGTGCTAGTCATTCCCAACTCTAAGGGGTGGTGCTCATCTCTGTTTCAAAGCCGAAGAGCCAGCGCTGTCCGAAGACGTCTCCGTAGTCATGTGGCTGGCATGACTAAACGCCAAAGGCGCACGGAACGTTATTACCTTCCCACCAAAGGTGGTCCCTATTTTTGTACTTGCATTTTTTTACGTGCTTTCGAACTGCTAGGTTGGCAGAAGCTGGGACAAGTAACGGGAGCTCACCCCGTTACGCGGCACTAGGGATTCGAACCGCTGAACTGCCGATCTTTCAACTGACAAGCTCAGTGTCTTAGCCACTGAGCCACTGCATCCCTTTAATATACTATTAAAACTCTTCTTATCATGACCTTTAGCTGGGTGACACTGCTACAAAAGTGCAACATTTTTTGAGCCAAGGTATTTCAAATGGGCTAACGTATCAAATGTGTCCACAATCCTGGACCCGTGACACCCGAGGAAATGAAATTTGGGGAGATTGTGGCTGCTGCGGTCACATGATCTTCATTTTCACTGTTCTGTTTCCCAGCCAGTCTTGTAATTTTTCATCACTTACCTACCTGCTAGAAAGGGAAAGTAGTGGGAAGAAAGCAGGCAGAGAGAGAGAGAGATTTCCGCTGCTTCCTGCCAAATTCCCACACGGAAACTCAATGGGGAAGCCAGTAGGAAGCCAGAAGTCGCTCTTGCTCCCACAGTTCCTACCCCCACCCCAGTCATTCTGTTTCTATGTTTAGGTAAGGAATTTTTTCTGAAACAATGACCCAGCAGGACACGAGTTACCTGGTGTAAAATAAATTAACATAAAGTAATCCATGTCTGTCCATAGTCCTTTTATGAGCTTCAAGCTTCCCAAAATGAAATGATTTTGGGCCACCCAGAATGAAAGGGGAGTTAGAGCTGCTACCGCCCTGGGGACCCTAGTGTTCAAGTCACTGCTAAGAAGGTCTGACTTCAGGTTCCCACTGCTCTTATCTGAAAAGGAGAAGAGATGTTTCTCCCTTGCACTGCTAAGAGAGTCCATTGAATGGGTTGTCCTCATGTCATTGGCCAAAGACTGAGTTAAGTTTTGCATAAACACGCCTCCCCTTCCCAGCACTTTGGGGCCTGGAAGCCAACAGGTAGACAGTGTAGAACAGTGTTTCTCAACCTTGGCCGCTGGACGTTGTGTGGACTTCAACTCCCAGAATTCTCCAGCCAGTTGGCTGGGGAATTCTGGGAGTTGAAGTCCACACATCGTCCAGCGGCCAAGGTTGAGAAACACTGGTGTAGAACACTCACAATAGGCTTTGTTTTTGTTTTTTGTTTTTTGGGGGGTTTTTTGCTTGTCAAAGCAAAAAAAAAATGGACAAAGATACACAGGTGGTCAGAAAAGATGATAGGAAAAGATATAAATTTTAAACTTTAATTACTTTTATTAGGTATAATATCAGAAAAAAAACTTGATAAGAAAAGTTTGTATTTAATATTACATGTCTTAACAGCAGCGAGGATTATTTTTGCACAACATTGGAAAAAATGAAGATATACCACGAGATGAAGAAATAGTCAAGAAGATGCTAGATTGTGCAGAAATGGATAGATTGACATTGAAAATTAAACAGAAAGAGGATGTAGAATATTATGAAACATGGAATTTATTTTACCAATGGTTGGGAAAAAAAGGGTGGAGATTAAGAATGTAATTTGTATTGTTAAGCATATTATATACCCAGACAACACGATGTTTATTAAGCACTAAGAAATGTATTTAATAGAAAATCAATAAAATTAAAAAAAAATAAAAGAATAGGCTTTGTTCTACAATCTGGCCACTCACTTTTGCACCAGCTATAATTTCTGACCCAAAGTATACCCATGCTGAGCACATTGCAGGAGACAAAACATGAATGGTAGGGATAATAATCACTTTTCTAAGGCTTACTGGTCCAGTAAAGTTGTAATTGATGTACCAGCTGAATTCTTGTACTTGATGTTTTGAATAGCAGGTTGAACTGAATCTAAAGTACCACTTGGCAAAGCAAAAACCTGCTATTCTCAGACATCTCCATTTATTCCTTTAAAATATTCTTGTAACTCAATATGTGACTTTACTGTGGATTAATCCCGTGGAAATTGTGGAGGTTTGTTTTGATAAAAACTGGGTCGCGTTTCAAAGGCCTGCATGCAATCTCACATACAAAGTTTCTTCTGTACACTTTTTAACAATTACTTTCCATATTTGTAAAGGTAGCCTAAGGTAGTATTTTGCCTCTAAAATAGTTAATATATTTTGCATATGTGACTCTTTCAACCCCAGCTGCTATAGCATGTGTTGGGAAAAAAGTTCAATCTTTGAATTTCACTTCAAAAGAGTTTATTTATATGGTATACTTAATTTAGTGCAGCTTTTTTACTTAGAAACATTTTCAGAACAACTCAGTAGATAACATTTTTTAAAAAAATAAAATAAATATTGTCAGTATAGCTTTAAATTATTTTGTTAGCTTACAAATTTAAGCTTTGTTTAACTTACAAGATTCCGCTCAAACCAATAATTTTTTAAAATTTTAGCAAACAAAAACATACTTATTTGAAGTAGCAAAAAATTGAGTTCTTAAAAGTGGGCACTCCTAATGTTGCTATGTTGTCTTTAAAAAATCTATTGTAATAGTATTTAATTATGTTAATTAAATTAATCAACTTTATTAATAATTTAATTTATTTCATTTATAAATGCAGAAGAAAATAGATACAAAAAAAATTAAATTCAATAAATTAAGTATCTGTAGGATGAAAAACCACAGTTCTTAAACAGCAAATTAAACCTTTACCATGGTTAAAGATGGTTACGCCGGGTTGGCCATGGCAAGTTGGCCACAGCAAGATGGCTATGATGAGATGGCTGCAGCAAGTTGTCCTAGACCCGCTAGCGGAATGAAGTTGTGCAATTTAGGTGATTGTTCTCCTGTGCTCGTAGCATTATCTGTCATGCCTTACTAAGGAGTTTTCTGGAAATATTTGAATCTGCCAATCCTACATTGAAAAATCTAATTAACCTTCCTGATTTAGCACATCTTTAAGCTACTAGATCAAATTTCTGCTACAAACTAGGCAGCCTTCAGCAACATTTTTCTGTCCATCTGGAACCTTACAGATACTGTATATGAAAGCTGGCTGGGTGACTTTGGGCTCGTCACTCTCTCTCATCTCAATCCATCTCATAGTGTGGTGGCTGTGGGGAAAATAGGAGGCAGGAATATTAGGTATGTTTGCCAGAGAGAGGGGGGAGGAGGAGAGGATGGTTTTATAATTATAATAATTATAATTGTATTTCTTCCTAGGTAATAACCTTGATGCTGTTCATGACATAACAGTGGCATATCCTCAAAACATTCCACAAACTGAGAAACATCTTCTATGTGGAAATTTTCCCAAGGAAATTCATTTTCACGTCTGCAGATACTCTGTAGAATCCCTGCCAGCCTCTCGGGAAGACTTGCAACTTTGGTGTCAGAAGCGCTGGGAAGAAAAAGAAGAACGGCTGCGCCAGTTCTATGAAGGCAAAAAATACTTTGATGTGTCAGGGAGAAGCAAAATCCCACCCTGTAAATCTGAGCTCAGGGTCTTGGTTGTTAAGTGCATTTCCCTCTTGTACTGGACATTTTTCACAATCTCTGCGATTGCACTGTTGTACATGTATAACTTTGTACGATGGTATTTTGTGGTTGTAGTTGTCATTTTCTCTGTGCAAGAAAAGTTGTTTGGTGGACTTGAATTGATAGAACTTGCATGTCATCAATTTTTTAATAGACGCAGGTTATCCAACGTAAACAGATGTTAAATTTAACTGGCGTGTGTACTGTTTGAATGGGTGATGTTTGTGAGCACTTTTCAGATGTGCCATAAACTTTTCATAGTGGAAGGAGATTTTGCATGGGAATTAATTTTTCTTAATGCTGTTTTGGTTAATGCACTGTACTCTTCTTGTAAAGGACAAAAGTTCACATTGAATTTTTAATTTTTGAATGTATCAATGTTCCTCTTGCAGCTAGCCTCTGCAGCATCGCTGGAAAAGCATTTGCTGACTGATCAAAGTTTATATCCACTGAATTGTTTAAATACGTAGCTCTAAATTGCTGGGCAAATTAGGGAGCTAAAAGTCATGGACTGTGATTCTTACAGTGCCTTGCTATAAATAATGTGTGAGATTTGAAAGTCCCAGTTTATTACACAATTAATAGTTGACTATCTTACATTTCTCTACCTTTATACCTTACAGAGAGTTTAATGGCTGATGCAATTTTGTCATCCAAATCAACAAATATTTTGATCTACTGAAAGAGAAAACAAAACCCAGGACCTAAAGTTGGATGAATGAAGATAGTCTGTTTTGAACTATTAAAACGTATTATATTTGAGGGAGGGGTGGAATCCAAAAGTCAATAAGGCTTACCTCTAAGTAAAGGTGCTAGTAAAGGTAACTGAGCTGGACCCCACTGTCCTTTTGCAAGTCCTAAATCATCTTCAGGATTCCATTCCTGTGAATTGTTTGTCATATGGTGAAATCACAGTCCATCTCCATTTCAGGTTTAAGCTGCCCTGCAAACCTAACTGCTAAATGCTCAGGCAAAACAATGTAAAACTGGGGGAAGTATTGAAATTAATTTTCCCATGATATGAAAATAGAAATAATGTTAAAAATTGCCCCACTGGATTATTACTATAAGAAACATTAAGGTTTTTCTATTAACGTTTGTCTCCTTTCCCAAAATCTGAATTAGGAGAATACTTTTAGCATGGAAACTAAAGGACACTTGTGAAATCAGTCCATGCTTGACCATAAGCAACCCCCCGCCCCTCCAAGGCTTCTACTCCATGTAATGAATTATATATATTTTTTTCAAATTTCCTAACTGGACCCTTTTTTCTTTTTATGGCTGAACATCTTCCCTCCTGCTATTTTTTAATGGAATTAAGGTAAAAAAAAGATGGCTGCAGTTCACCCATCTTTCACACTTAACACTACAGGCCAAGACATTTCTCTGAATGTTAATAATACCAGAGCTATAAGCTATATGTTCAACATGTTAAATGTCATGGCTACTTCCACATCTTTTTCAACCCCTGTCGCCCCTACTGTAAATTTTCACACAACCATTTTATAAATAAATTGTATTAAGAGCTACTGGCATATGAAAGGTCTGTAAACTGGTCTTAGATTATCAATGTTATCGAAATGTCAATGTTTTAGCCATAAAAAATATTTACTCTAGAGCAACAATAAAGAATTTAAAATGCAAATTGTACTATTTAAGTTATATGACTTTACACCTTAACTTGGGTAGCTAGCAAAGCACATTACAACACAACACAACTTCAACCAAGATTCCTCACGAAACTGTATCTTGACTCAGAATAGGACACACATACTGGGGTCCACTAACATCCTAACACCCCCGTCTGAGAAGAAAGCATAGTCTCCAAAGCTTTCCAAAAGACTGACTGGACTGTCCAAATCTCATGGAGGAGGCTGCCACAGAATTTACTGTTCTTAGTTCCTCTAGCACAGGGGTGTCAAACTTGATTTCATTGAGAGCCGCAACAGGGTTGTGTTTGACCTTGGGGGGGGATGTGGCCAGGGAGCGTGGCCAGCTCAACGTCATTCGTGTTGGCACCAGTGGTGGTCCAAGTGCTCTGCCAGCAAAAACGGGCTCCCAAACAACATTTTCAGCCCTGACAGCCTCCTGCAAACCCTCTGCCAGCAAAAATAGAGCTCAGGAAACCCTCATGATCTCCATTTTTGGCCATAACGGCATCCTGCAACCCTCTGCCAGTGAAAATGAAACTCAGGCGGGCCTGAGCTTCATTTTCGCTGGCAGAGGCACTGTGGGCCAGTCCTTTGCTGTTTCCAGGGCAGCCCTGTGGGCCTTGAGTTTGACACCCCTGCTCTAGCAACATGGTTTTACAGAAGGGATTTCAAAGGTGCCTGCTGTGCCAGATATAATTGGGATGAATGAAATAATTGGATACTTTTAGTTCTAACATATCCTTGCTCTATGCTATTTTGGGCCTCCGATCAGGTGTGAAATCCAGCAGGTTCTGATAGATTATGGAGAACCGGTAGCAGAAATTTTGAGCAGTTTGGAGAACTGGCAAATACCACCTCTGGCTGGCCCCAAAGTGGGGTGGGAATGGAGATTTTGCAGTATCCTTCCCCTGCCACGCCCATCAAGCCATGCTCACCAAACCACACCACGCCCACTAAGCCACATCCACAGAACCGGTAGTAACAAAATTTGGATTTCACCACTGCCTCAGATGACAACCATCATTTTTAATGGCACCCAGAGCTACAGTGTTACATGAGGGTACCATGGTGCACTCAAAACTGAATATGTGCTGATACATTCTGAACCAGTTATAGCTTCACAATGCTTTTCAAGGATGGCCCTGTGTAGTCTAACCAGGAAATGACTAAGGCATATGTCTCCAGGAATAGGTGCAACTAGTGCACAAGTGGGATTTGTGCAAATCCTGGCCATGATTACCACCTGCTCTCGATCAGTAGCTACGAGTTCAGATGGACTGCTAACTTGTACATCAAATCTGGGGGAGTATTGCCCCATCCAAAGTTAATAATGGTAAGCCGCCAAAACCCACAGCCACACAGTCTAGCTAGGATTGTATCAAAAGTCTGTGCTTTCCCACACAGATCCTCAGTCTCCAGTCTTAATCGCATAATTTGGGGCAGAGATACATAAATATCATCATGGAGGATATGGATCTAAAACACAGGTGACTGGACTCAAAGCCTAAGATCCTGTCATGTTCCTCAGGACTAACAGGCTGTAACTCTCTCCAGATAACTAAGCAAGACGTTCCTCAGTCAGTTCCATAAGACCTGCATAGCCAGAATCTGAACAAATTCAACTGACATCTGACAGATGCCTAAAATAGTCCTCACGAGGACCTGGAATGCAGCATTGATACCAAGCATCAGGACTGCCTTCCCTAAGAACAATCCACTCCTGGTCTTTCACCAATCACCCTATGTCCTCCATCACCACTACCTACTCTCTCATCTCTTCAGAACATCCATCACCCAATGATGCTTGTCCTTCCTTCCCCCCTCCCCCCATCAAAGGGACCCATCATACACTAGATGGCACACTACGATTGACATAAGATTAAAAGTAATCAGTGCTCATAAAATAAGTGTATAACTTCTATCCTACAATCTTTTGCTAACAATTGGACTCGCTTTTAAAATTCTCAGCCTTAAAAGAGTAAATATATTGTGATGTTATATGACTGCAGATATACAAACTGAGATTATCTTACTCAAATTTATTTAAACAAGTTATTATTTATTAAATCATTTAAAAAGTAACTGGCTTTAGACATCATGTCAGCAAATTATAATCGAAACCCAGTGGGGGAAACTTCAATTTCCTGGAATTTCCTATTATTGAGTCTAAGAGGCCATCCTGAAAATAGAAAAACCACTTCTATCAAGAACAGTTGAGCTGGATTTTATTAGAAAGCTTAACACTTTATTGGTTTCTTATTGCACTCCAGGCAGTAATTAACTCACATAATAGTTGTCATACTCGACACCTATATATCTGCACATAATAAGATGAAAGTTTGGAAATGTTGAGGGTATGAATTTTTAGGAGTGCCCATTTAAATGGAGAGAATTTGTGCAGAATCACATAGCAAAGTGACATGAATTGGAACTGTTCTAATTAGCAAATAGCTTTGGAGTTTTTTATTGATCACACAGTGCCATTTATTTCAATGTTTCCTGTTTGTTTCATCAGTTTTCACTGTGTGGAATTGATCCTGGCCTTTTAAAGTAATTTCTTAAAAAAAAAAAAAAGTATTGTGAAACTACAAAACCTCAGCAGTCAAACATTGGTAATAAATGCAATTCGATATATATAGTATGTTTAGAATAGGTTATCTTTCCCTTTAAGCCAATCTTGCTTCAGCACTGGGGAGATGCTTGCAGCAACTTAAGTTCTTTCTCTCTGTAACTCTGACAAACCAGAGTGGTTCTGTTGTATAATTTTTCACTCAACCTAAACCATCAGAATAAAAAATAGGAGAGGGAAAAACAGAGAAAATAAAAATAAGGGACCTGTGAAAAAATTGGGTAATTTAGCTCAGTTTTCAATAATGGAAAACAAATTCTGAATTTGCTCAACCCTCAATGTGTCTTTTGCTTCCGATTCCAATAAAAAAGCCAAGTTAATCAATCTGAAAGTTTCCTACAGACTTAGTGATTCTTGTTAACATACAGCAGTTTCTGTGGTTTCCTTATAACACAAAACCTGCACGGTTTGTTTCAAACACAGAGCTTGGCAGAAGCAGGCTCTATTCTGTTCTCACCCAGCAATACTATTTGGGGGCTAATATTATACAGTGTTTTCTGATACACTGTCAACAGGGACGTTTTGCCCCACCAAACTTCATTTAGAGCCTTTTAAATAAAGATGAAGTATAAAGTGACAGCATCTAGTATTACCATGTTTAAAGGAGACCTTTGGGTGCAAGCATAAGCACTATCAGCTACCTTAGAAGGTAAAAATGGAGAGAAGCTGCCATCCAGGGATTTGTTGGGCAGCGTGGCCACTTGCCCAGAAAAAAAGACAATATGGTAGAAAGCAGGGGGGGGGCAAAGGGGTGGGAGTGGGCTGTGGAACCACATTACCAGTTAGCCTTATAATTTGCAACTCCTCACCCAGCATGGTAGTCATTCTACAAATAAGCAAGCCCATAATTGCAGTACCTTAGATATATCAACTCTGGCTCAGGAGTGACTCCAGCCGTCCAACTCTGATTCCAGTCTGGAGACAAAAAACAAAAAATGCTCAGCTCCAGTTCCAGAGGCTCCAGGAATCCCTGCTCTGGCACCAGAACTGTTCCAAAATAAGTTCAAATGTCTGTTGTTTCTTCAACTGTTTTACTAGGCTTCATCTTTCAAGTAGGAGGGGAAAATGTAATCTGGTATGGTACTGTATTAAGATTAATCTTGTCTAACTGGTGTTACAGGATCATAAAGACCCCAAAAGGATTTACCAATATGAAATGAACTACATGCTGCATTTTGCATTAATATTCTAAAATGCAGGGAGAGCACCAGCAATTAAACAGCTCCAACTCCACAGCTCTGCTTATGGTCAATTTCTGGCTCCATTCTGACCCCAGCAACTCCAACTACAACCCCATTCAGTTCCAGAGCATAGCTAAAATACTAGATCTTAGCTCCACAGGCAGAACGCTGAGTTTATCTAAAGGAACTTTTCTTCCATAGCAGATTTGGAGGAGGATATTTGGGGGGGGGGAATGGGGGAGGGGGGCAAAATTCATGTCTTCAAAATTTTAAAAGATATTTGCTTATATAAAACTTGCATACTGCCATATTACGGTACTGCTAATATTTTCATTTACTTCATTTTCAGTTACTCCTACTTTTTTTAGGATACTCTACAGCAGTGTTTCCCAACCTTGGCAAAATGTCTATAGAAATTCTCAGTCATCCAGATCATGGTTGTCCCAAAGGTACTTTTTCAAGAGGCAACTGGACTTTCTGGTTTTTCTCTGACAGGAATATAAATCTTTCCATTCCCCACCATCCAGTCAGAGCTGAAGAAGCTTCTTGGATGAGAAGCGAAATGTTTTCAAAGAAAAAACAGAAAGTCCAGTTGTCTCTTGAAAAAGCACCTTTGGCTCAAACTTGGCAACTTTAATTTTGCTGGGGAATTCTGAGAGTCAAAGTCCACCCATCTTATAATTGCCAAGGTTGGGAAACACCACCCTAGAAGTATCTTTGGGCTATAGAAATAGTTTGCCACTTCTTGAGGGTAAATAGATTACTATATCAGAAAAAATGAGTCAAGGGAGAACTGATTGGCTTTGATGACTGTCCAGTTGCTGCAAAAAGTAGGTAGGAAGCTGACACTTTTTTCCTGCTTTTTAAAATGTATTTTTTTAAAAAATAAAAATACATATCATGGTACAATCAGGGCTGACAACATCAAAGGGAATGGGGATTGGCTTATTCACCTACTCTTTCTTCCTATTTCAACCCTCCCTCATCCAATGTGACCACAGTGCTAAAAAGCAGAATGGAGAAAGGTTGAGTTCCTAGAGCAGCCTCATATTGAGGGCTCATCTGAAAACTATCTGCAGGAGGAAGAGCAGATGATTACTCCCTTCAGTATTCAGACCACACGGTTTACTTGAGGTGATTATGAGACTGAGGCTAGAAGCCAGGCATTCTCACGTCAGAGATG